TTTGATCATACATGCACGGACCTATCTTTTTTTTTATACGACTTAGAATGGCAAACAAGCTAACGGCCCACCTGATGGAAAGTGGTAACCGTCGCCTATAGACATGAGCAGTACCATGGACATAACAGTACACACATATACTGTTTCGCCCATGATACCCCCATGCGTTGCCATTCCTGAGGACTCAGGTGTTATTCCTCTGTACCCTGTAAATTCACGCCATATCCCACCCTTCAAACCGAAACACAGCCATGCAAACACAACTGCTTCAAGGTAGAAACACGAATGGGACAGAGCTACATAAGCAATCGACTTTTGTACAAAGTCTCACTCCCTCCTCTCCTTATCTAAAAACTGTCATAATCTACTGGACAGTAACTTTTTATAGGAACGAAATTTAGACTAAAAGAATATAGAGAAGGTAAACCTATCCCAAAGACAAGGTAAACCTAATAGTTATAATTTCTACATCAAATACAGTTATCTCGAATGATAACTCGAGACGCCTGTGAGTGTCTAAACGTGTTTCGCCGAACGGGTTGTTCAAGACCTAAATCCAGACAGAGGCGGTGAGACGAGCGAGATATTTTAAACTGACCTAACTTAGCCTCGGTGTATTCCAGTCTAGACTTATGTTGACATTTATGGTGACAGTTATAAACGGGGGTGGAATTTATTATATGCTGTACGAGCTTTGAGTTATTCATATCACACTTGAAACACATGGGAGGGACTTCTGTTTTTTTTTTCAGGGCAAGCCAGTCCCAGACAGACAATGCAGCGGACAAAGAACTTAAAATCCTCCATCATCATCATTTGAGCCATTATTCGTCCACTGCCGGACGGACACGGACTTAATAGGGAGACCTCCCCCATAGACTACCATTAAGAACGATCCTGAGGCACCTGCATCCACTGACTCCAAGCAATGCAATTGTTTCCATCGTAAATTATTTTTTAAAGCTCACAAGTGCATTAATTGGTTATGAACCGGCACATTCATTCTATTTTACCAGAGAGAGACTTTGTATAAAAGTCGATTGCTTGAATACCTCTGTCCTATTCGTATTTCAACCGTGAAGCAGTTGTGTTTGCATGGCTGTTTCGGTTTGAAAGGTAGGATATGGCGTGAATTTACTGGGTACAGAGGAATAACACCCGAGTCCTCAGGAATGGCAACGCATGGGGGGTATCATGGGCGAAACAGTATACTCTGTTATGTCCATGGTACTGTTCATGTCTATAGGCGACGGTTATCACTTTCCATCAGGTGGACCGTCAGCTTGTTTGCCATTCTAAGTTGTATAAAAAAAATTTTTCGACAATTCTGAGCATATTTCGCCGACTCTTTTTCAAGCTAATTTTCTTTGGTGTTATTGTTTTTTAATGGAAGATAATGGAATAGTAACCCCGCCTGCGCTATCGGTATACGCTGGCGGGGCACCAGTGAAGGATCATAGATGAGCATGAAAGCAGGTCAGTTAGACCATCGTGACAATTGCAACAAGTTTTAGTCACAATGGTTTCCAGGGAAAATCTCGTGGAAGTCGCCCTAACAGGGCTTGTTAGCAATGAGGATATTAGTCCCCATTACTAATTATCCCTTTTACCCTTAGTGTTATTGTTGTCAAGCGTGAATCTTAAATTGTATTTCACCCTATTATTGAAGTCCTTGAAAGAAACCACAACTACGTGTAAACGAAGGTTCGACAGGAAAATGTCACACGATAGCACCAGATGTACAGTTCAGTGACTCCAGGACTGGTTTGCAACCGGACCCCGCCGTGCTAAATATGGCATCACCTGCACACCGGCCGAGAAAAAATGTCTAGCGGCTATGCTAATTTAAAATGGCACTAGAAATATGACTGTTCATGTAAGGGAAAGCTCAAAACAGGATGACTCGTAAAACTTTGAAGTATGAATAAGCACTTCCTCAAGTGATACAAATGTCTTTATTGTGGATCATAGGTCAAATTAAGGTATTACATGAGTTAAATAGTATCTCCATGTCGTGCTATATAAGCGTACAATATATGGAACAATTAACAGTATACAAAACATAACATTTAAAATTATACAGTGAAACAAAATATATTTATATGAGACATTATTTTTTACTAATAATGACTATTTATCTTTATCATTGATATATTCGTTTAGGCTATAATAACATTTATTTATTAACATATCGCGAAGGTTCTTTTTAAAAACATTCTCAAGTGAGAGCTTTGTGCATGTACTTCATATTTCTCTCAAAATGTGGTCAGGCAAATAATTATTTCTTTAAAGCAAAACAAACACGCCATTTTGCAGTGTTGCAGGTAATTAAATTGAAGATTTGGGAAATTAGGTAATTTTTAAATTAATTCAAATTACGTAATAGATTTTTTTAATTTCACATATTTACTGTTATAAACTGAGAAAAGCCATCCTCTAAACATATCTTTATAATTAAGTCACTTATGTGAAAGTATATGTTACAAATAAAAATTTTGTATAGGTCCCATTCTAAATCGAATCTAAGTAAATATAAATTCCATTCATCCATGGTTTATACTAAACTCTGAAACCATTCAATAGATTTTAATCAAATTCTGTAAAAGTGCAATATATTATTTCTCTAACTTGAGAGATAGGACACTTTTTTTTCTAACAAGAAAAAAATAACACAGTAAGGGCCGCAACAATGTTTGACAGATTAATTATTTTATTATAATAAATATAATTAAAACTGGCTCTCTAAATGAATAGGTATTATACTAACATTAAAATTTTAGAGATAAAATTAACGTGTACTAAAATGTAATTAGTTTATTCTACCATGGTAGAGTTTATTATATTATATATGCAATATATAAAGGTAGTAAAATGTAAATGGGATACTTAGGAAAGTAATAAAAATATAATGTCTGTTTTAATATGTTTATGGCCTATCTTTATAGCTATATTATTACATAAATAGAAAGAAGGAAATATTTTTATTTAAGTAAACTTAGATTTAAGGATTTTTGAATAGTAACTTTTTATTACTGTTATTATACATATATATTGTACATATGTTATTATTATTTTGTTATTATTGACTTCATTCTCAGCTAATTTGCCAGTTTTCTCAGACAACCCGTCCCTATATATATATATATATATATATATATATATATATTGTTGTGTTGTGTATTATGCAATTATTTTCAAGTACAAGAAGTAGAAATACACAAATGGTATTGTGTTCTCTGTCTATCTTAAATATAAATATTTGATTTAGTGCTTCAACTCTACACTTTATAATAACAAAAAAAGAATACATTACCTAAGAAATATAAAAAAAAAAACCAAAAATGTTGCCACTCAACTATATAAGGTGTTACTAAATTATCTGCATTCCCTGTTGCAGGTCATAGAATTAAATATATACATTACGATAAAAAAGGAATACCATGTCGAAGTACATAGTATGAAAATATATTTAAAAAAATTATAAAATACTTAAATTTTTATTTAATTAATAATCTAAATAATTAAATCATTTTTGAAAATGATGCCGATTATATTTTAAAGCAAAATAGATTTAAAAGTTTAGTAATAGAACCTATGATTAATTTTTTAATCAATTATTGTTCAGTATTATGAAATATTTGAGGTCCTGGTATAAAACAACCCATCCCTTCTTTTTCCATGGCTGTCATAAGAGGTGACTAAGATGAGCAAGGGATGAGCAGCGGCATCCTTCTTAAAACATCTCTAAAGCCTAGCTGCGGTTACTAATCCTCCTGCCAAGTGTGGCAACTACTGGCAAACCCCTCTTTATGGGGGAGGCCTATGTTCAGCGGACAGATGGCTGATTTAAGGATTACTAAATATTACAGAATAAAAGAACAGTATTAATGTTAGTAAAACATATTTTTATGCACCATCCTTTTGCAATATTTAAAAAAAAAATCATTGTAGTATGTATCTACAATCCACTAGGTAACATAATATTTTTTTTTTTTTAAATGCTATAATTTTTATCAAAAGAATAGATTTATTAGTATGCAACCATATTTTTTTTTAATTCTTGGAATGAAATTACCTATTTTTATTTTTAAAACATGTCTTTATATTTTTCAAATGTTGAGCATTTAATTTTTACCTGTATCATCATTATATCCACCTTTAATTGTTCCTGTATCATATGGCCATTTAATTGAATACAAAAAAATATATAAATAATATTCTTGGATTTGTGACAGATTATGAATACAATGTATCCCCAGGATGGCATGAGAACTAAGGGAACAGAGCATAATATGTTGGTGCAAAGGATGGAAACCCTTAAAAATGGAATTTTAAAATGGTATATATATATTCTTTTATATATATATACTCTTTTCTCTATTAGATTGTTTTGGAATTATATTCACTAGTAGTATTTTAATGTGTTTGACTGTACTAAGTTCAAGGATAGTTTTTTTTTTTTTTTTAATAATTAAGCAAGTAATAAAATATTTTAGAATAAAATAAATAGTTTTTGAAATACGATATATAAACATTAAGTAAAGGTTAGCTAGAAAAATATAAATAAATAAATAATCACTACCTCTTAAACCTACTAAAAGCATGCATGTGTCTTATAAATATTATTTTTATATTTATACCCTAGATTTTATATTTAGAGAGATATTATTATTACATTCATTAAAGTAAGACGTAATTATATAGATATTAATAAAATTAAATATCTGACAGAAACGATAATGCTGACGCGATATTTAAAATTCTGATGATTTGCATAACATTTATTTTATTGTATTAAATACAAACGTGACTCAATAAAATGTAATTTATGAATACATAATTATAAATACTGTAAAATTGCATAGTGTACGTAACGCAATAAGAAAATCGTGTAGGTATATTGTAATAAAAACATTTGTTTCGCACCGACCGACTAAAATTAACAAAAGAGATATAAACATAAATTAACATAACGTAATAAATGTTTTTAAAGGACTCACCTTCAACGACATTTTGAATTTCAATCGATTTTCAGCTTACAAAATGTGTAAACAATCAGTCATTATTAGAAACAATTAAAAAATTTTGCACTGTACACAAATTGCGAGAATAATTTGTATATATAAAACAGTAAATTATATAATCACGTATTTTTATTTTTGATTTAATATATAAAAAATATTAATGTTTATTGTAAATGGTAGATCGAAAAAAAAATCGAGAATGTTATGAGCAAAATTAACACGAAACACTTGCGTACTCGAAAGAATACAATAATTGTTTCCCTCGCTCAATCACATAACTTGAAACCAGCGCTGCCAACTGCCAATTTGACAATCGGAAGCGGACAAAGCTTGACTAAATGTTGCCATAAAAAGTAAACAAAGTTTGTCACAAAAATAACGATTAATAAACCACATTATTAGTAATGCTATTATGCATAATAGTATTTTTTACATTTGTTATTGTTAAAATTATGACATACATTATCTTATGCACAGCATAACTCCAGCCATCTATGGTTAACGATTCAGTCACGAAATATTTGCTACTAAGTGTTTGTCTCGAGTTCATGATAGATGGCGGTATACCACATATACGTCTCCATAAAGGTGTAATTTATTATATTATACATTACTGAATTTATCTACTTATACAAATTTTTAATAGGATGTATTACAAATATTTATATTCATAATTATTTTTCTTCACAGGATTAAAAACAGTTTATGATGTGTCTCAAGTGGTCATATAAAAGTACTTAATTTATACACTTTTTAAAATTAAGCTCGATGTAATATTTCTCTAAAATTACAATTTTAATTTGATATTACAACAAAATATTTATTCCTACAATCGAATTATTATTCATTTATTTAAATGTTTCTGTACATTCACTTTTGATGTAGATATTTAGTTTATAGTGGAACATAAAATATTTTATGAATTATTAATTTAAAAAAAATGGTGCCCATGAAAGGAAGAAAACTCCACATTATTTGCTTTTTATTATTGCATTACATTAAATATCAATTTAGTCTAAATAGATTATTTTCACTCGTCACCAATGTCTTTCTTGTACTCACTAGTCATCAAATGTAGTTTGACGACATTGAAGGCGGTGCTAGTGTCATATTTATCTGAATGAACTGTGGTGAGATGGCTGCGCAGTAGAGCCGCCATGTCGGTGCTGAATTCGCAACACTCGCAGCGGTACAGCGGCAGTCCGGGATGTCGCCGGTGGGCGTGTTTGCGGAGGTTCTCCTGGAATATTTATACACGTTAATAAATAACGATACAAAACATAACAATTCTTTCCTCCCTAAAAGAAACTTATATTAAAACTTTATGCCACGCCGCCTGGCCTTGACAGAAAGTATGAAACGTGATTCAGGGCCTGATATAGTGGGCGCCAGTCAGACCAAATACCAAAGGTAACAAAATGGGTTATTTGCGAATTTTCTTTCAAATGTATAACAATTGAATGATAACTCCGCCTACGCTCAGCAATCACCATACATTATATGTACATATGCTGGTGTTTACCATCAAACGGGCTGTATACTTGTTTGCCATCTTCGTATAATATTTATTTATTTATTCTTTATTGCACAATAAAATTTTGTACAAATGGCGAGCTTAATGCCATATGGCATTCTCTACCAGCTAACCATTGGGTAAAAACAGAAAGCGTATGAAGGGCAGATGTGGTGAAAAATATGTGACAATATTCCTGCAAACTGATTAGGGAAGTGAGGATAAAAACAAGTCAGTTGGCCCTTCATGATGAATTTCTCAAGAGTTTCCAAGGAGAAGCGCGTGAGATCGACCTGGTAGGATATATTACTATCAATGGGTCTGTTGATCCCCACTACTAACAATCTGTTCTCCCCTAACTTCACTGTGAATTAATTAACATTATTACATTTTATAAATAGCGAATATTCATTTTTGCCTGGAGTGGTAAAGTAGTTATATTGAAGCAATGTGAGAGGTATTCGTGTTTCATCGATCCTCTGGACTACGGTATATAGAGATACTCACTCTTGCCTTACTTTTCTACTAAAGTATGGCTCTAGTTAATAATAATTTCACGCATTTTTCAGTGATTATACTACTTACCAAGCTACCACAAACAAACTGGCAGTGCGGACAACCGTAAGGCTTCAGCCCCTTATGGCAGAGCATGTGCCTCTTCAGGTGGCTGGAGTGATTAGTTTTAAACGTACATAGCTGGCACTGGTGATTTTTCATTTGTTCACCATGAGCTCGACGATGTCTGTAAAAGTAAAAATAAAAATTAAATGTATTCTAATGGATTCATTGTAATAATTATAGTTTATATTCTTTTATTGTCTATCTTCTACTTGTATAATGCAAATAATTCATTAATTCCTTTAATAATTTCTTAATAAATTAAGTATTGAATATAATGCGAACTACACACTCAGACGAAATAATCAGTTTTGGATTTTTGTTAGGTATGACATTCAGAAATAAAAGTAATATTATATATAGCGCCATCTGTACAATAATATGAAAATTAATTTCAGATGAAGGAATTTGACGACTAATGCTTTTTGATATTTTATCTCCTTGTTAAGTAAACTTACCAATAGATGGCACTAACAATAAATTTACATTATGTACTATATTTCTAAAAAAAAGATCTATTTTATGTAATTAATTATTGTATTACCTGACTAAGTTAGCTGATACATAGGTGCATTGATCATGTGGGCATTTTTGGCCCATACTGCCACATTTTGAAGCGTGTCTTCTCAACGCAGTTCTGAAAATAGAAAAGATAAGATTTTTATAGATCTAACGACTTCAAGGAGCAAATTTTTATTCCTCTATATTTTTTAACTAGAGTCTAAATAAACAATTCTTTTATATACTAAAAAGATGTATAGTTTACATGCGGCCCGTCTGCTGATAAACACCCTTAACCAACGAACATCTGCAACATTTTCGACATGACATTTTAAAATTAATTTAAATATATAAAATGTTAATTATGACCGTTACCTACTAATTAATGAAAAAAAAAAATATATACACTCACTGTGTGTTGGGACTAAGTAAAAAATACCCACTTGTGACCTACATTGATTTTTTTATTAAATTCTATAGTTTAATCAAAATCTCAAGCAATTTTCATTGCTGTAATGTTAACAATCGATAGTGTAATATTTTATTAAACAAAAAAAAAAAAAAGAAAAAAGAGGTATTTAAAAAAATTCTTCACAGATGTAACGTTAACTGACCATGCGGATAAGTTACCAACCACGATAAATTGGACTGCGGACTGTCGCACGAAAAAATAAATAAAGCGCTACATCTAGCACTCAAGTGTCCAATTACAACGGTGGACAGCAGCCAAGGAATTCCTTCAGCGCTAACTTGCAGCTGCAGCGAGAATGCAGCGCTGGACGCCAATATGGTCACCCGTACATTAGGATGGGAGTTCTTTTGTTAGCTCGTTAGCATATCGTTTACTACAATTGCTGTTAGCGTTGTTAATTAACAAGCCTTACAGGACGTATAAATTCATATAAATAAGTACAAATTTATATAAATAATCGTTAAATAGCAGGTGTTTAAACTTATTAGTAATTTATAAGTTCATTTTTATGACAAACGTTAACAAAATAAGAACCTATTGGTCAATTCGATGTAACTGATCGTGTATGGCCGTAGTTAAGGGGAGCGGGGGGCATTAAGGGGCAATGCTTTAAAAGATCCAATGCCCTATTTTAAAATGAAACGTCTCAAGAAAATTAGATAGATTCGTTTTTCGAAGTCACTTAATTATGGCTTCTGGCCTACCAATAAGTTCTTTTGCCCTACCTTAAACTTGAGTTTAGCTACGGCCCTGTGATCGTGTAATGGACGCATAGAACAATGAGCAGTATTACAATGATTTTAATTACCAATATCCACTGTAGCAATTGTATGACATACAGGTGACAGACAGTTTTGGAGGGAACTTGTTTTTTAAACCACAGATTAATAATTTTTATTGTTGTCTATTACAAGTATCTAGTATTTAGTTTGGTATTGGGAAAATTTATATACATAAACAAATATGTAAGAACAACGATTTACAACAAGTATCCATTAATTAATACTACCTCTGACTACCCCGTTAAAGATTACAGTTATGAGTATATATTTTATGTACTCATTTAACAGTGGGTCGTTGTCACGTACGTTTTCGGAATCAATATGCGTGTATTTAACCGACTTCAAAAAAAAGGTTCTCTTAATTCAGTTGTATATTATTTGTAATATTATATTTGTTACCTTAGAATTGCATTATTTTTAAAGAAATATGGATTTTTTTTATTTGAAAAGATGTACTTTCGGATAAGTCGAGATTAGAAAAAAATAAAATAAAAACCGGTTATGTTTTCTTAATGTTTAGTCAAGATTAGAAAAAAAAACCATTTATATTTTCTGATTTAAAAATCAAACTACTGTACCGATTTTAATATAATTCCTATGAGACTAATCTGTATTTTCTTTGAGATAAAAAAGAATTTTCCAAATCTGATTTACCTGATGGAGTTATGAGACGACAAACATAAGATAAATACAACCGAATTGAATACCTCCTCTTTCTGAAGTCGGTTAGAAAGCCAATATAATAGTCCCGTAACATGTGGACATTGCTACCCCCCAGCTCCTTAACTACAGTGCCTTAAATGCAACAGCATTAATGCAAGTCCTCGCAATAACGCATAAGATATTAGGCAAGTTAGATCATCAACGGCGTTAGACGGCCCCAATGGCTCCAGAATGTTCTGCAATTGTCTAGATATGTTGAAACTTCTGGCAATAGAGGCGTCTAGTTGATTCATGCGGTTTGCGGTCGGAATTAAACTCTTGTTGATATTGTTTGTGAAATCAAATTTAAATTATTCAGGACTCTAAACTCAATAAATACAAAACATATCATATCATTCGACGTGTGGTCCCGGCATAGAATAGGCCACCCCTTCTATTCCCGTGGGTGTCGTAAGAGCCGACTAAAGAAGGGCGAGGGATGGGTAGCAGCGTCTCTCTTAAACATCTCTAAAGCCTAGCTGCGGTTGCCATTACGCCTGCCAAGCGTGGCAACTACTAGCAAAACCCACCCAAGGAGGAGGCTTATGGTCAGCAGTGGACAGTTAAAAGTTAATACGATGATCATGATATCATACTAGAGGGAGACTTTGTTTAAAAGTCGTTTGCTTGGGTACCTCTGTCCCATTCGTGTTTCAACCGTGAAGCAGCTGTGTTTGCATGGCTGTGTTTCGGTTTGAAGGGCGTGAATTTACTGGGTATAGAGGAATAACACCTGAGTCCTCAGGAATGGCAACACATGGGGGGTATCATGGGTGAAACAGTATACTCTGTTATGTCCACGGTACTGCTCATGTGTATAGGCGACGGTTACCACTTTCCATCAGGTGGATATTGTTTGCCAATAGATGACAATAAATGACCGAGATTATGAGAGTAAATTGATGATGACATATGTTGCGGGATGTTTTTAGACGAAGAACTTTGTGGAAATGTATAAATCCAATGGCACGATTATAACAGACAAAATGAACTAATTAAAATGATCTTGTATACTAAATACAAATACAGTAAATTAAGACAAAAATGGTGGGGCGACATTTTTTTTTTGGTGGATGAAAATGGAATGGTAACCCCGCCTGCGCTAACGGGATACGCTGGCGGGGCACCAGTCAAGGGTGATAGATGAGAATGAAAACAGGCCAGTTAGCCCGTCATGATGAATTCATCAGGAATTAACCATGATACTTTCCAGGGAGAACCGCGAGGAGGTCGACCTGGTTGGGTATATTGCTAGCAATGCCCTTTCCACCCAATATTAGCATATTAAATTGTTAAATTTGGGTCACTGCGACACACATGGCGAAACCATATTTTCATATTTTATCTTTTGTTGTATATTTAAAAAAGTATAAATAATTTGATTGTATAAACTCATTTGTTAATTTACGTGTGTCATAAATGGCTCAAATAAAAAGTTTATCTATCTATCTATCTATTTTAAATAAACAACGAAATAAACCTTTAGTTCTAAGGTAAAATAGGTTATTCTCGTATAAAAAATACCAACAATGCACTCAAAAGATCAACATTATTTGGCAATGTGCCAAATAATGTTATATTATAAGTCGCTTCTGAAAAATAAATTGCGTGTATAATGTATGATATTAAGTAAATTTACGCGGCTATTTACAAAGAGGGCAAACGTCAAAGTTTCATAAAGTATTTACAGGTGCCAACATTTTCAAAACCACCGCGGCACTGTTTTAATCCTAAACATGTTTATTCTACGTAGATCCTCGGCCAATATATTACTGTAACATCCAACAACAAACCGTCCACGATTTAGCATCATCAAATCGAACGGTGATGCTGTAAATCCCTAATACATTACACGGCAACACGTGCCGACGATAAAATTCAAATGTCACCGCCTTTCTGACTAATATTTTGATCAGACGGTGCTCAAAATACCGGGCATCCGGGCCTGAATTTATTGCATCGAAGTATAAAAACGTCAACGCTGGCAACACAGCGTCAGTGGTACATGTCGCGCGCCGGCGCATAATCAAAGCGCTTTTGTCAAATTATGAATGTTTCCCGATATTTGTGAAGGAGTTGTGTGACAGGTGACATGCGTGCATCCGCTGCGCGCGCGCCCCTTATCGCAAATTAATGGCGTCTACCCGCCGCGCTTTATTTCTAACGCACCGACGCCAGTTTGGAGATCAATGAGACACGATGCGAACATATCTACATCAGAATTATTGCACTCACCTGTTAGGGAAACTGCTCGGGCATTTACTGCATTTCCAGTCTTGTGTCTTCGTATCTGCACTCTCAATAACCTTCTCTGGTTTTGTAATCTCATTACTGGTGGTATCTATCTTGTGTTGGCTTTTGTTATGATTAACTAAACTGGTCAATCTAGTAAAATTGGCTCCACACGTGGCACAGACGAAGGGTCGTTCAGAAGTGTGTATTCTCAAATGCTCACGTAGAGATGCCTTCTTGAATGTTTTATGACAAATTGGACATATATATTTCTCATACACTTTCTCTTTATTGCCAACTTTGCGAATGTCTCTTACTGGATCTGAATGTAAAACTTCGTGGAAGAAACACTCGGCTTGGGAGTCTGTTGTGAAGACGCACTGGCTGCAGTTCCACAATATGGAGGAATTCGGCGGACTATTGTTACGAAATTGGCAAGCATTGTTCCTGATGTGACGAGTTACTTCTTGCGACAAAATGAATGACATACCGCATTTAGGGCATCTGAAAAAAGAATCATTATAAGAAAAAAGTCATTGGAAGCATAGCGGCTAAGTAATTTGTAAAATAAATAAAACTTAAAGATTCCGAGTCCAATGTAACTGATCAAGAATTTATTAAAATTTTAAATTACACACTAGGGAAAACTAATATATCTAATTAATGTGATAAGATATTAGGGTAATTAGATTGCAGTTGTAAGCATATTTATTAAGGTATTACCATATATTTAAAAAAGGCTATGAAATACTTGCTTTCTTTTAATATGTGGATGCACTCTTCTAATGTGATCTTTTAACTCCAATATATTTTTTAAAAACAATTCATCTTTACAGTAAGGACACTTTTTGGTCAAATCTTTCGTAATTAAACCTTTTTCCTTCAATATCTCTTTCTTTCTAATTCTGTGCTCAGAAGTTTGACGATGATGTTTTGCTTCCTCCGAGGAGTTAAAAGTTTTTGAACAAACTAAACAGAAAAACGCTTTTTGTTTATGTATAGTCTTTAAATGGGCTGCCAGCGATAGAGAAGATTTAAATTTAACTTTACAGTGTTTACATTTGTGTAATTCCTGATAACTATCAGTAGCAGTATAGGCCAAAGCGTGTCCTGTTTTCTGACAATGTCGTTTTATCTCCATGTTGTATCGAAACTCTACATTACAAGTTTCACATCTCAACACGCTTTTCTTTCGTATAATTATAGGCATAGACCTATTAATAACTGCAACTACTTCACTATGTTCCAAGCTTGACATGTGCTCTGACATTTCTTCAGATGTTTCACATTCGTATTTACAAAATGAGCACCAATATCTACCTTCTGTTTGCGCCATTTTCTGTACATGTTCTTCAGAAAACCAATGCTGCATAAAGTTTGAGAGCCAGTTGGTATAAAATTTACATGGGCTACATTGAAATGGTGACTGGTGGACAATAGCATCTATATTATCAAGAATTAACTGTTTATATATACTGCTCTGTGTGTCTGTGGCTTTTCTAAAGTGATAATGAGATATCAAGTGTTTTCCCATTAGATGCTGTCTCACGCGAGATTTGCACCCACAGCAATGTACAAAAACAGACTTCCGTTTTCTTTTTTTAATTTGAAGCTTCACATTTAATTTTCCAGATACGCGTGGCTTCTTTGCATGTGACTGAATATATACGCTTCTATTTAAAAATCGCGTAGAACGGATAGATCGTTTTTCCGTCATATTTTTTAATGATTCTAAATGTCCTGAGAATTCCAACTCGCGTTCGGGTAGCACTTTTCTCATATGAAGACTTGACATTAAATGTTTGTCGTATATAGCCTTTGAACCCAGACGCCGGTTACAAGGCCCACACCAGTACTGCACTGTGCCCTTTGTTTGTATAGTCGGTTGCATTATTTGTGTTTTTTCATGTGCTCCAGGTACCCATTTACCTTTGGTGTGGCCTGGTGGCGGAGCATCATAATCATCATCACGATCATTTGTTATAAATGATTTCCATTTACCGCCCATATGCTCTTGTTCGTCCCGCATATCCCAATCTTCATTTTCCGGAGATGCAGGTCTCCATTTACCGCCTGTATAATTTGGTGGAGGCTTCCACTTTTCTCCAGTAGCATGAGGTTCATCCTCGTCTTCGTCCTCTGAATCTTCCGATTCATCAAAATCTTCGTCGCCTTTAAAATCGTTAAAACCTTCGATATTATAAGAAGAAGTCGGAATATCTTTCTTAACCGAACCACTAATACTAGCCACTGCATTTATCAACTTTGTTTGATTATCTTCGTTCATACCTATTCTTAAACTATGACCACCAATCCAGTCTTCGCCACCTAAGTTGCTCTCTAAAGGGCTCATTCTTGGTAGATCCCTAGAAGTTGAGGGTTCAGTCAATGTACTCTTTGTGTCTATACCTACTTTAGAAGTGGGTATGGGTGGTGTAAGTCTGGCCAATGTGGGTTTCTTAACACTACTTTGTAACTCCAAGGACTGGAAAAAAACATCAGCTCCAAGGCTATAAGTAGGTTCCAATGGATTAATGCTCGGAATATCTGATTTGGAGGTAGTACTTTTCTTCTGACATCTCTGCTTTCTATGTTTAACGTAGTTGTCGAGGCCAATGATAGTGGCGTTGCATTTGATGCATAAGTGGCTGTCGTCGTCATCGTCGTCGCGCGGTGACAGCATCTGGAAAGTTCCATGCATATATAATTAAGTGCAAGTTGCCGGATAAGATTGATAGTTTAGACCGGGCGGGCTGGGGTGGTGACATCGTCGCAGGGTGGAAATAACTCGTTAATCGCGTGGTGCATGGGTATTAGCGGTGATGTCTCGGAGGCCGTCAGTGAACTGGTAACTAGGGCAATAAATACGCTTCGAATGCGAATTATTTAGCTGCGGTATAGTTGTTTCGTGATGATCGATAATATATGCAACTCAATGGGGGGCTCATTATTGCGGAACTTCGTTGCAACTTGGATTTGCATGAAGCTATCACTAGATTAATGAAGTTGTTAAAGAATTCTTTTGTTCTTGAATATGACATGCAGGTTTGCAATTAAGTTTTTGTAACATACTTAGAATAGCAAACAATTTGACGGCTCACTTGATGGAAAGTGGGAACCATGGTCTAAGGACATGAACTATAACGCCATGGATTTTAAACAATATACTGAGATGCCTATAGTACTATTATTATTATTATGGTGTTATGTCTTTGTACCCTGTAATTTTACTGCCATATTCTACTCTCAAATCGAAATATAGCTGCTTTACCGTAAACACACTTACAAAGATGTCCATACGGAGGATTTTTGTACAAATTCTCCCTAACTTCTTATAAGTTATAGGCATTGATTAAAAATTGCTTTGATTTTGCGCTGGCGTTAATAGCAAAACAGGTGAAGGATGAATGTATGTTGTAAACCGAACGACCATTAATAATATGCGGCTCACCTGTTCGATCGCAAAGCTCGTTGACTTACCATGGTGTTTGGGACTAGATTTCGATATGAAATAATTATTCAACTGATGAATATTTTTGACAATTTTGGTACTTCGAACAAGTATCGTATATTTTAATGCAAAAAATAACCGGATTGACTTACATATGTGTATAAATAAGTATAGTTTTTGAAAATTGTTAATTGAATAATAATCCCCTCGGTGCTATCAGTATACGCTGGCGGGACACCAGTGAGAGATGACAGATGTGAATGAAAGCAGGTCAGTTAGCCTATTAGCACACAAATTCAACTAGAATTGATAACGATAGTTTCCAGGAGTAAGTATGGTATAGACTATGGGGATGAGGATCATGCAGGAAACAAAGCTCTGCATTAATTAGTCGCAAATGGATTCATAGAAAATGGGTTCTGTACGAAAAATGAACAACAAACAGATTTATTGGTACTTATGGAGCTTCGGACATTGACCGAAAATACGACACGAGCATTTGGTCTAATTAATGGTAAAAGGTAAATAATTGGAAATTACATATATTGAAAATTCTAATATAGATTCTCGTATTTACCTGATTTCTTATTCTCTTTGAAAAAAAGTAAAGAAAGAAACTAGTAAACATAAATAAAACATCATAAAGTTGCAAAAGCAACTTAAACCAACCCACTAATAATAGGTATCTACTGAATTTTTTAAAACCTAAACTTGACCAAGTAACTATGAAAGTAAAGTTTTTTATTGAATCAAACCATCCAAAACTACGCAGTTCTGCATACGTGGAGCTAGAATCTGTCCTTTATAAGCCAGCTGTATAATTCCCCTCATAAATACGAGACTCTGTCCAGATACCGGAGATAGAAATCAAAGATTCCCATTATTACAGTCTTGACCTAAATTCGCCACGTTGGCACTTTTGTTATTGGTTTCTTTTATAGGGCTACACCTAGATTGATCCTCTATTATAACCAATGTTGACCCAAATTATTCTTTGATATATGGGATGAAAATCTAAAATGTATAGTTGGACCTAGCGAATTAAGGAGGTCGTAGCAATGAGTAAACCATAAATGCAATCTTACATATATAAAAAATTATCGCCCAAACATATGTATGTAAGCGCATCACTACAGAACAGTTGCACTTTTTAGGTTAATTATTTCTTGATATATTTGTGACTGACAGGACAAAGTTTGTATTAAAGAAAATATTTGAAAAATGCAAACTTTGGGTTTAAAAAATCTCCGCGTAAAAAAGAGAGCGAGTGATTAAAACAGAATACAAACTGTAAAGGGAACACATTATATTTTGTTACGTCTATGGTTAGTGTTCATACGTATAGACGACGGTTAACAATTTTTATCAGGTTAGCTGTCAAGTGGTTTGCAATTGTAAGTTGCAAAAATTTGAATTTATATTAATCAGTTGATTAATTTTTGAGTTTATTACATTACAAACAGAGGGAAACTGTACAAAAGTCGTTTGCTTAGGCACCTCTGTCCCATTCGCGTTTATACAGTGAAGCAGTTGTGTTTGCATGGCTGTGTTTCGGTTTAAAAAGTGGGATATGGCAGTGAATTTACAGGGTACAAAGGAACAACCTGAGTCTTCAGGAATGGCAACGCATAAGGGGTATCATGGGCGAAACAGTATACTCTGTTATGTCCATAGTACTGCTCATGCCTATAAGCGACGGTTACCGCTTTCCATCAGGTGGGCCGTCAACTTGTTTGCCATTCTAAGTTGCTTAAAAAAAGTAATGTACAAAAGCGAACTTATCTTGTTAAAACAAGAGACTTTTTAAGAATCTTTTGTTCTTTACCGAATTATAAATTTTTATTTAATTGAATTAAAATAAATTAACTTTTTCCTCTTCCTAATAATTAGAAGTTACAGATATCATTTACAAAAAAAGTACTAGAAACTACCGGTACTTAAATTCTAACAAACTAATGTATCACTATGAACATCACTCATGGAACGTGGAATGTGCAAATGAAGTGTGATTAGGTGCAAAGCGATATCCTAACGAGTCATATTCGACAACCGTCAGTTGAGGCCCGCAGTGACACGCGTCAATCGTGCCCGCGCCGCCTGACACCATTGTGGCTGACACACGGCTGACAAATGACGGCTGACAAATGGCCGCGCTGTCAGGAGCGCGTCGTTAATGTCATTATTGTCGTTGCACGGCCGTTCGTGGAAGTTTTTAATTATTGTGGGCCGTCTGTCGCTTTGTCCGTTTTTCACACGTCGTGCAGATGATGTGTACCTATTGATTTTCAAGAATTTTTACACTTTTGAAAAGTTGAGAATTCGTAATGGGCAGATCATTAATACTTGTATAATTATACACCAAAGTTATTGCATACATAGTTACCCTACGTTATGCGTATGAGTCTACTGGGAACGGCTTATCTAAAGCCAGGGAACTACAGATATATTAAACTACGGAATATCGTTAAGGTAACACATTCAATAGAGGATTCATTCAACGCTGGCAGCTTGCCGGGCATTCCCCCATGGGGCGTTACCCGGCAGACGAAGACCGCATAGAATGAACCCGTAACGGCGCAATGAAAATCAACTCGAAGCCTTCGATCTGCATAGCAGCAACTAAGGACCCGAACATCGTCATGCCCAGCGTAGGCGACCACCAGGATAGGAGTAGAGCTCCAGACTGATTTCCCCATCCCCAAGCAAGATGTGAGATTGCAACGAGTGAAGTGGGAAGCACAAAAGCTCCCGATGGGTCGACATGCAAAGATACCCTACTTGCACGCATGCTGAAGGTAAAGGAGTTAACGGGCCGCCTGAAAATCAGCGCTATATAGCTACATCTCGCTGGAGCTGTACATATATAACAACAGCTGAGCTATTACCACCAACATTAATTGTTCTTTTTTTTCTTTTTGTTCTTTTAATATTTATTTTCTTAATAATGGTAATAAAGGTCATCTATCTATCTATCTATCTATCTACTTCATATGTAAATTAAGCTTTTCACAGTTCAGACTCTTAATGGGTGCTTTAACTGAATACATATTTTTGTTCTTTTTTCTTTTTTTTTTTACTCAACTTAGAATGGCAAACAAGTGACGGCCCACCTGATGGAAAGTGGTAACCGTCGCCTATAGACATGAGCAGTGCCATGGACATAACAGAGTATACTGTTTCGCCCATGATACCCCCCATGCGTTGCCATTCCTGAGGACTCAGGTGTTATTCCTCTGTACCCAGTAAATTCACGCCATATTCCACCCTTCAAACTGAAACACAGCCATGCAAACACAACTGCTTCACGGTTGAAACAGGAATAAGACAGAGATACCCAAGCAATCGACTTTTGTACAAAGTCTCCCTTTGGTAGCATTTGGTAAGGCCAGTATCATACAAGATTAAACTGTTTTCGGACACCTGTATAGATTGTGCAGCGAGGAATCTAAATCTATGGTACACCTGGTGTGCAACTGTGATTCATTGGCAAGTATGCGTATGAGTAAGGCTTAGCAATATAAGCCAATATTTTTTTTTATACAATTTAGAATGGCAAACAAGCTGACGGCCCACCTGATAGAAAGTGGTAACCGTCGCCTATAGACATGAGCAGTTCCATGGACATAACATAGTATACTGTTTCGCCCATGATACCCCTTATGCGTTGCCATACCTGAGGACTCAGATGTTATTCCTCTGTACCCAGTAAATTCACGCCATATCCCACCCTTCAAACCGAAACACAGCCATGCAAACACAACTGCTTCACAGTAAAACCACGAATAGGACAGAAGTACCCAAGCAATCGACTTTTGTACAAAGTCTGTAAATTGTAGTTATAATACGTAATATCGTAATGATGCGCCTGATCATAATATTGATGTCAGACTATATGAGCGATATCGATGTGATATCAATGTCTCAAGAAACCCAATATATATCGGTGTGGTTCCGATAGTACCCATATATACGTATGAGTCTATTGGGAACGGTTTACTCGGAGCCAAGAGACTATACGTATTTTACTCTTTCCACTGCTGAATATAGGCCTACTCTATAGACTGCGTGGCGAAATCACCAACGTGTACCGCGTAAGAGACATGAGCAGTACCATGGACATAACAGAGTATACTGTTTCGCTCATGATACCCCCCATGCGTTGCCATTCCTGAGGACTCAGGTGTTATTTCTCTGTACCCAATAAATGTATTATTAAAGTAATAAATACTAAA